TTTATACTGACAAAGGCATCATAGTTTAAAGCTATAGTTATACATTTGAAGTATTTGACTGCTTAAATATGAAGCCACAGCAGTCCACTGATTAGCTGAGCTTAACATAAAGACTGAGATTAAGGTGTCAACAAGGTGTCAACAAGGAAAAATAGTTTTGTACATAACGATTCATTAAACCCAGGACTGTTCAGGAGATATAATTCTGTTTCCCTGCTTCATTTTGTTGAGTTATGCTGACCAGCTGCTGGTTGAAACTTTATTTTTCAAGGGTAGGCAAACAAGTCTCCCAAAATGTCTTACTATTGCTCTTCCACCAGCTGAACACATTGTCTTTCAGTATTTTTACTTTTTTTTTTTTTGTTATTTTTGTGGCCTTTTTGCCTTTATTAGATAGGACAGTTGAAAGAGAGACAGGAAGGTGGGGGAGAAGAATGGGGGAAGGGGTTGCAGCAAAGGGCCATGAGTGGGATTCAAACCCATGGTCCCTGCATTGGAGACTATAGCCCCTGTACATGGGTCGCCATCTAGCTCAACCAGGTGAGCTATAGCGGCAGCCCAGTATTTTAACTTTTTGAAATACTAGAGCCACGCTGGAGTGACTTCCAGGTGAACCCAACGGAGGTGAACCTGAAGCTTTGAACCAAAGAGGGCAGTAAAACTCTGATTTTTCAGGCTGTTGTCCCATCACTCTTCAAACACAATGCAAAACACTAAGTTGTTGTCAGTAAACATAATGCATAAGCTGCTGGCTTGCTGGTTCTAATTTGTGGTAGGACAGAACATCGCAGTGCTTTGCAATGCCTGTATGTATTTATGGACATTTTGAAAGCAAACGGGGTCCTGCAAGCTCCTTAAGCTATGTGAAGTTTCTTTACTCTTCATATCCTTTTCTTCAACTCAGCTTTCAGCAATCTTGTTTTCACCTTCACACCCCTCATCTTCAGTCCTGAACTGATTTTTTTTTTTTTCTTTTTTTGCACAATTCCCTCCTCAGTGATTTTGGGCTTAGCCTCCCAACCCTGTAAAGATCAGAGAGGTTTGGTATCAACTTTAAAATAAAAAAAAAAAAAAAGAAAGGAAAAACTATGTCTCACTCCCTCCCTTGTGTGTTTCACTCTAAAATTCTTGGTCCCCTGTCAAACATTCCTTCACAGCAGCTTGCACTCGCTGATGAATGTCCCTCTTTTTCATGAATATTGAGCACTCAGAAACACGGGACTAGAACAAGACAGTCTGAACTGAATCTTAATTACTTGTACTAGAGTGATTTGTTTGTCGGATCCGGAAAGTTGTGATCATTTTACTTGTTTGAAGCGTGACGAATTCAGATCACACATCTGTGCGAGTGGAGGAAACAGCTATTTCTCTATTTGATCACTTGGTGGCAGACTTTTGCTTTCTTCTTTGCAGTTAGAGTCCCTAAGTTGTTTAGTGTAATTATAAAGACACAACCACATGTGAAGAATCTGGGTCACATGCAAACAGAATTTAGCTCACAAGATGCCTTAATGGGAATTGTTACAATTTAAAATATTCACATGATGATGATAATGTTGCTTTCATAAGCATATTTGGGAGTATAGACTGTCTTCCTGTTAAGCTGAACTGCTCTTCAACAGTTTTTGTCATAGCAGTGTTTTCATTTGTAGTGAAAGTTAAATGACCATGTCAGGGTTTGACTCCAACTGTGGCTTCACGCCTTGCTGGATTCAGGTTTTTATCAGGCCAGCCACTCCTAGGTTCATATTGACTGATTCAGATCTCAGATAAACTGGGCTGAGCTGGGAGCGGTGTCATGAGGTGAATTCCTCCCCCATCTTTGATCAATAAAGAATGGCAGTAATTGCACAATCATTCCAAATGCCACAGCACAAAGCTTGTCTGATTACATCAAAATCAGTCAAAAAAATAAAAATCTTGCATTAACATAAAACAATGTATTAATTAATCCTCGGACCACAGCAGCGTGATCCTGTAGCTCAACACCGTGTCGTAGATGTGACTATATTCACAAATCATTGTATTAATTGCCCAAACGTGTTTATTCTAATCTAAGCTTATTGTTTCCTCAGTGGATAATTCACCAAAAATGTGTGTAAAACCTTTGTTTTCCTCTGTAAATGAAGCGTTTCATTTCAAAATGAGAAAGAACGGCTTAATATGAATTACATCTGAAATACAGTTAAAAGAGTGTGTTTGACAAGTCCCCACCCGGAACGCTGCACACACACAGAGACACACACACAAACACAGACACACACACACCCAACAGTGCAAACAATGTTCCTTCAAAACAAGCCTGCTAAATGGCACTATAATATAACATAATAGCAGGGTATTGTCTTGCCTTTTATTTTGTTTTTCTTTGATGGTACAGATTGTTAAGCCACTCAGATGTTCTGAAATTCTGCAAAATCTGTTGTCACGACCAAGTTGTACAGTTACATAGAACATTTTCAGACTCACATTAGATCAAACAGCCATATAAAACTGTCTTCTGAATCCAAAGTCTTTCACATGTATTGATTTTGTTGCAAACTCTCTATTGAGTCACAGCAAATAATTAAATGGCCTTAAATTTTTTTTTTTGCAAAATCTCACAAGGTGCTTATTTTAGATAACGGCAGCATGTGCATGTTAATGCAAGTGCTGAATACAAGATTTAATTTTAAAATGCTTTGATAGCATTATCTATAAAAGGCTGTCTAGTCATCCATCCATTCATCTATACATCGCTTAATCCTCACTGGGGTCGTGAAGGGCTGGAGTCTATCCCAGCTGGCAAAGACAGGGGACACCCTGGACAGGTCGCCAGTCTATCACAGGGCTACACTTAGAGACAGACAACCAAGCACACTCACATTCACACCTACGGACAATTTAGAATCACCAATTAACCTCAACATGTTTTTGGACTGTGTGGGAGGAAGCCAGAGAACCCGGAGAGAACCCACGTTGCACATGCAAAAACAGAAAGATCCCGGGTGTCCTCACTGGGACACAAACTGGATCGACCTTCTTGCTGCGAGGAAACAATGCTAACCACCGAGCCACCTTGTAGCCCCGCTGTCTAGTCAAGTTCATTTTTTTCATATACAAACATCAGCAATATGACGCGTATTCACATGCCCAATACATGTGTTTACCATATGTGTCTCTAAGCACTGGGCCTAAATCTTAATCATATTTTTGACACACAAAAATAGAAGAAAAGGTTAAGAAAAAAAGAAAAAGAAAAAAAAGGTGACAACCGTCTTTTAAACTACTGTATTTCCTGGACTTGCTGGACTTTGCAGTAGTATGTCTTACAGTACAGTAGACAAAATAAATACTCTGCTTGGTGATGAATGAGGGAATTGAGTCTATTATTTAACATGAATGGTACATAACAATGTGTTTTGTGTATTGTGTATGTCCTGTATTGTTTTCTTGTTGTGCTTTGTGTTGCTCTGTATGCATTGTAGGGACCAGGGTCATCTGATGACGGCATTTCAAATTAGCTTTTGGCTATAAATGCTAAGGTATATCTGCCCCTAATACATAAGTTTAAAAAAAACAAACCAACAAACAAAAAAAAACAGCTATATATTTGAAATAACATATTCTATGTGTTTGTGACCAGAAAAGAACATTAAGTGTAACAAATGTAAATCAGAGGTCATATACATGCTTTAAAACTCTGTGTGTGTGTGTGTGTGTGTGTGTGTGTGTATGTATGTCAAAGTGTGTCTATTGTTGTCCATGTCTATTGTAGATTGTGGCTAAACACTGGCTTTAGGTTTTTCCATGGAGACAGTAACATGGTAATGCTCCACACCTGTAGGAGGGCAGGGCTGAACAATAGCACCTAATGCAGGAGGTTGTTAGGATGTAGAATTTAAGCTGTCTGAGTCTGAGACTTGAGCCAGAGGGGAAGGTGTTATCGAATGTTGGTGATGATATTAATATTTTTAATACTTTCTGGGGTTTCCTGTGGCGGCAGCGCTGGCGCACATGTGTGCGTCTTCCTCGGTGTCGCGTACCTGTCTGCGCGCGTGACCCCGACAGTTGCTAGGAGTTCCCCGTTTAAGCCGCCTGAAACAATCGCAAGCCGCATGTAAACACAACAGAAACAATACACCACCAGCTCCAAAGTGTCATGAGAGCATGCGAGTCCGCACATAGCTTTGTTTACACCTTGTCATTATGGAGATAACCTCTGACCTCTACCTTCATGGGATACAAATTAACATGGGTAGTGTAAACAGAGGGCAGCTCTTCAAAGACCCCAAGGAAGAAGCAGAACTACCAAGGACGACATGAAAAAATGCTTTACCTCGGGTTTTCTTTATGTGAGAAGAGAGGAGAGTAACTGAGGGTAAATAACAAAAAGGGGGTAGAAGGAGGTCTTTAGTCTGGGATGAGCCTGGGTGTTGCAGCTATTGTGTTCCAACATCCTGGAGGAAAAAAAAAGCAAGGTGGAGGTGTTCAGTTACAACACATAAACATAGTTACCCTGCCAGTCCCTCTGCAGCAGCCCAAGTGACAACCAAAACAATTACCCTCCTTCACCATCCATGGTAATCGTATTGCAGAAATGTACAGTGCAAATTATGTTTCCTTACCATCCACTTTATGCTATTCTGTGGGCTAAACCATGTCTGCTCCAAGATAAAAGGGTGGTAGGCTTTAGGTCACCACAGCTTTGTAGGCATGGACGTTTTACCCAATATCTTCAGAAGGGAAACCAAAGCCTCCGGGCATTCATTCCTGCTCTGTTTAGGGAAAACTGGTTTGGTGGCTCTGCCTCTTATTGTGTGATTTCACTTTATGTGGTACAGTCTAGTGGGTCAAAAATGTGCTGCCCATAAAGCTTTTGTGTTGCTTGTTCTTGCATTTCAAAGCTCTGCCAGACTGAGGGCTTAATGCTCTTGATATGCTGCGTGACTACAAACTCAGACTATTAGTTTGTGTGACAAAAAATAAAACCACAACGAGAAAGACAGCAGTCGTCCGAGTATTTTCAGATGCCTTTATTTTCCGATTATTGCAGTGATGTGCTGCTATCATGTATAAATAAAACAGTAATTTGGTGAATGGTGGGGGGGAAAAAAAGCGTCTGGGGGGGTATGACTGCAAAAGTGTATCAAAAGTGAAACTAAAGGATACAACCTGGCAATGATATAAAAGCACTTCAAGGTGGAGAAACAAAGTAAAGGACAAATTATGTGTTATTTATGGCCACAGGAGAACACAGGTATAAATAATCCAAAAAATAAGTTTGGTAATTGACATTGTAACCAGCCAAGCATTTACCAGTGTTTATAAATATAGAACTTCATATAAATAAAGACAACTTAGAGATCATGTTGGAAATATAGCCAGCGAGCCCTTGACCCAAAGCACAAATAATTAAGAATGATTTTAAGCACAAAACTAACACAACACTCGCCACAACTCCCAGATACGCTATGACTCACTCTCTATAGATCAACTATAGGCAGGGGAAGACGGTGTTCTTATCAGGCATTGCTTTTCATTGAGGCCGATTTGCCTGCACTATCTTTGCATGTGACAGCAAACAGTTCTCCTTTGACTTCACGGGTTGTCAAGTAAAGCTACGTCATTGACAAAGCCAAGCCTAAAACATAGAGGTGTGTTGTATCAATATTTGTTCATGCTCAGCGCTGAGCACGCCTTCCTGACATGCCAACAGGTGAAAATTGGAGATAAAAAGAGGGCTCGCCATGGACTCCACCGTTATTTTCTTTTATTACACACTTTGACCAACAAATCAATAAATGTGACCCTGGGGCAAACTGTGTAACAGAGCCCAGATCGTGACATTTTAAGATTCATTGCATAGCTTGGGATTTCCATCAGTTCTCTCTTTTAGGATCAGCTACGCAAGATCTACGTGAAATGTGCAACGTGCCCTGCCAGTCAGCATGAGAGTGCATAAAGGCAACGAAATAGGTGATAGTGGTTCTGATACAAAACCGCTAACATTAAGTGCATGTCAGAAAAGTTGGGATGTGCACCAACTTCCCTTTTGTCAGAGAGCAACTCACAATGACAGGGCGTCACAGGCATGTTTAAAGGGACATTCCACCAATTTTACACATCAAGTTCACGTTACTTGTCAAAGAAAATCCTACTGAGCTTATGAAAATGGAAAATTAATGTATCTAAAATCCCTCGAGTTATCGTCATTTTGCTTCTTCACACATTTTTTTTTTTTTACATCTATAAATTTTTTTTTTTTTTTTTCCCCATTCAATTTTGGAAACTTTTGAGGACACTATATAAGACAGGAATTTCAAATTCAGAGTTTGGATGCTATAAAAATGGTAAAGATGCACCATATAGTGATTTTGTACTGAGATAACCCTCGACTGCTTCGATCACAATCATTACCTTTTAAAGCTTTTAATCAAAGTGACTAACTAAACTGCTTGAGTGTTCCTCTGAAGACTGTAGCCTTAAATTCATGATGGAAAAAAAGAGTCTAGCAGTATTTCGTAGTGAGACAAGCATGCAAATCTACCACCCATGTATGACCATATCATGCAATACCCAGAGGTGTTAAGCATTCACACAGGACATATGTGGGGGGAAAAACAATATAAAAATAAAAAGGACAAACAACATTTCACAAGACATTTCACAGGGAGGGTGTGAATGTAATGTACAGTTGTGCATCTAATACCGTGGGGTAGGCCAGAGGGTTTGGGATGTAAAGAAGATAGTAAGGCTCTGATTTTCAGATCGCTCCATTAAGATCTTCATGTTTTCAGTCTCGATCAGCTGAGGTGACTGACTGCTGGGACGGGCATGGTGTGAAGAAGGGAGCTCCAGGAGCGAAGGAGTTGAGTTACAGGAAATGATTTACAGGTTCATGCTAATCCACCCATTCTTTGTCTCTTTTCCTTCGTGTTTTCTTCCTTTATTTTAGTTCATGAGTGCCATGGTGCTCTCGGGCTGGCCACCGAAGATCCCAGAGAAGAACTCCAGCGCCAGGCGAACGTGGATGGGCACGAAGACGTACGAGGTGTAGATCACCATGGCGATGGCGGAGAAGAGGATGGAGTTGAAGATGGATTTTTCCCACGGCTCCAGGACGTAGATGCCGGTGATGAGCAGGTACTGGTAGTACAGCCAAGCCAGGTACTCCCTCAGGTTCTTGAAGTTCATCCTGCAGGCTGGGCGGAGGAGGAACGGAGGTGGAGAGTGGCAGGATTCAAAAAGAAAGAGAGGAGATAAAAAATAATATAAGACAACCCTTTATTGATCCAAAAAGCGAGGACAGAGCAAGCAAAGTAGGGACCATCAATGAAAACAACAAGAAATACACATAAGCATTGTTGATTTTGTGCAGTTTTCTACATGTAGAACATACAGATGTTGCCCAGATGCCTGCCAATGTGGAAAATAATGATATTGCACAGCTTCTTCCATGAGCAGAACATGCTGATATTGCACTGATTCTATTAATATTGACAGATTATTTCATGAGTATAAAACAATGACATTGCATAGCTGGCATGAAGATGACCTCAAAAGTTCTTTACTAGTTTTTTTGTTGTTGTTTTTTTAAAGTGCAAAAGCGTTATTATGCATCTGTCACTGTATAAGGTATTGGCATCAATAAGTATTGGATTTTATTATCTTGTTAGACTGTCATTGCTGATGAATTACTGTATAAGCAGCATTTTGTGTTGTTGCTGATTAAAGTAAAGCTATTTTAAGCTATTTTATAAACAGCTGGATAACTTAATCTATAACAATGTATATGTTGTTGTGAACTGGCTTTATATTTTACATATAAACTAGGGGTTAACTGATTATCAGCACTGAAGGATAAATGCTAAAAGTTCTCTTTTCCTTAAACCTGTGTAAAAATGTAAACAAAAAAAGTATTTCCTCAAAGTTTTGTGTTTGAGTTTTGGCACCAAGATTTTCAGTCTTGCTGCAAATGTATATCAATTCCAAATATTGGTGATTAAATGAGCATTTTTCTAATAATCAGAATAACCCTGATGTAATTCCAAGAACTTTAAACGAGCTCCCTCTAAAAAATAAAGCATAAAGTAGCATAAAATAGTAAAACTCAAGTTCAGCTTCTCAGAACTACATGCAGTACTTGAGCAAATGTAGTTAAATCCAACACAGTGTACTCAAATTAACCTGTAAAGACAGTGTGGATTTTAACAGACAAATTTAAAAAAGAAAACGATTAAAAGAAGAGGCATTCACTCTCTTCTGGACAATACAGAATAAAGATATGTTGTAAATATATAGCATATAGCAGCACTTCCCATACACTGATTGAGATATGGCTTGCCTTATGCTGATCATTACCCTGGGGACAGCTGCACAACTACAATGGAAAATAATTATCTTTAAAAAAAAAATAGTCCTTGTGGCTGTGTGTTTATTAATGAGGAGGCATGAAGGGGGATAAGAAGAAACTCCTGTAGCCTCTCCAAACCCTCAGCAGCGCCCTGAGGGGGCAATCAAGCAGGCCTCACGAAAACTCAGGACTCTTGCAGGATTCAGTTGTGTGAGAAGAGAAACACGAATGAAATTAAACCCAGGGGTCCCACATGACACAAAACAGTCCTTGCGTCTTTTCTCTCTTATTCCCACACTTGCCACACATGGGACTCTCACAAATGAGTTTATGCTATGTGAGAGGAGCTTAATGAGCAAAGCCCCTACAGAAGATGCAGCACATGCACTTTAACATGTACGGACACAGTAACACTTGTTTTAAAGTTCTTTCTGCATGGATTGTGTGGTTTCCAGTTGGTGGACACAATAAGAAGTTATACCTTTACAGATCCTGCTGCACTGGTGAGGGGGGAGGTGGGGCCAACAGGTGCGCTACAGGTGTGCTCACCTGTCTTTCTTTTAAGTCGGGATAATAGGAAAAACAATACCTCCTTTTACAGTAAAGAAGAGCAACTATGCAACAAAAATAACTTAATGTAAATAGAAACAGCAACCTGTGACTGTTGCACTGAAATTCCCACAAGCAAAACGCATTTTGGTGGTTTTCTGCAGCATTCTTTAATCCCAATTAGGATATAAATTGGCTTGAAAATATCTCACTTAACAAGTTTGGTGCACAAAACTGCAAAGTAATTTAAGTCCAAGTCATACCTCCTGTTTAAATGGTGGCCAAGGTCCATAAATGTAAGATTAGTTGGTGCACGTATCAATGATGACAGTTAACAGGTTTTACTTTTCTTTAATAGAAGGAATATTAGAGGGGATGTATCAGTTCTTGAGCGATTGCTGTAGCCTGTGTTGTGTAAAACCGAATCCATATTGACTCACCTCAGCAGCCGACGTGAGATCCCCTGGATATCTACTAATGATGGAGATTATTTCAGGACGAGCTCCAGCCCGCGTCCCGCTGCTGCTGATGCCGCTCCGCTGCTTTGTGTAAACGAAAAGCTGCCTCACCAGTTTGCCACTGGGCTATAAGCAGTGCAACATGCAGACTGCGAGAATGACACCACACCCACTACTCGTGCTTACACTCACCTGGCTCACAGATCATGCAGGTGGAGTGACGGAGGACTCACAGAACGCCCAGGCCGGCGTGTGTTTACGCAGCCCCGAGATAAACAGTCCTTGCATCACAACGAGGCAGAGGAGTCGCTGTCGTGGGTTTGCAGCTCTTTTTCAGTCATGCTTTGTGCAGCATCTTCAAACTTTCTCCAGTCCGTGTCGCAACCCTCGCGCATCTGTCCCACCATGCTGCAGCCCCACGCTGCGCCGCAGTGCCGCCTCTGACGCAGTGAGCAGCAGCAGCAGCGCTGCTCTGCTGCACCGGATGGAAAAAACAAGCAGAGGCAGTGCGGGCATCACTCTGGTACACTGCAACCCAGGAATGCTGTACTTTGCATTAGTCATTACAACCAGATACGAATATGAAATTATAAAGTGAACATGAAATAATATCTGATATAATATTCAGCTGCAGTCTTCCCTGAAACGTCGCTCATCAAGCATTCACAAACAGCCCCGCTTCTCTTAGCTCGTCCATCCATCCATCCATTATCTATCCATCCATCCATTATCTACACACCGCTTAATCCTCACTAGGGTCGCGGGGGGCTAGAGCCTATCCCAGCTGACTTAGGGTGAAGGCAGGGGACAACCTGGACAGGTCACCAGTCTATCACAGGGCTACACTTAGAGACAGACAACCAAGCACACTCACATTCACACCTACGGACAATTTAGAATCACCAGTTAACCTCAACATGTTTTTGGACTGTGTGGGAGGAAGCCGGAAAACCCGGAAAACCCACGCTGCACGGGGAGAACATGCAAACTCCACGCAGTCTCCCACCGGGACGCGAATCGGCGACCTTCTCGCTGCGAGGCAACACTGCTAACCACCGAGCCACCATGCAGCCCTCTCTTAGCTCAAGTGAAGGCTAAATAAGAAACATCAACAAGCTCAAACATCTGACTTCACTCCGATGATAAGAGTATTTTGCAAACTGCGCTGAGTGTCTCTGAGATGGAGCATTCAGGACCAGTGTTCTCCAAAGTATTTTGGAAACAAACAACCCAGACACCCCTGGGAAAGAAACTTGAGAATAAGCAGAGTCGTTTTTTTTTTTTGGTTCGGAGCAATCAGACATAGAGTTCGGATGTCATTCTTTCTAACTGAAAGGTCTGCTGACCTGCTCACTTCTAACCCTGCATTATTGATGTGTAAACAGTGCCGCCATGGCGCACCAGTTACGCATGGATACACTACGATTTTGTAGGCGTCAGAAGGATGAGGACTGGTTTGAAAAGGCCAGGCACAGTGTGTGAACCCGTCCTCACACTGAACACCTCTTTGGAATTGTAGATTTATGATAAAAATTAGCCACTGTGGTCTTTACATGAACTGTCCCGACCTGCTCTGCTTCGATTACTATGGAAATCATTATTCAAATCAGCGCCAAGTGCCAACAACACATTCGTCTTCTGCTGACTGCAATACCACTCTGTAATACTAGAAACTACAGGTAAAGGTGGCGAGAGGTAAAAACAAAAAACAAATGTTGGGTTGCAGGGGCTCAGTTTGTGCACATGCAAAGATGGTGAGAAAATCAGGCCACCACGCACACACATTGAGGGGATTCACTTCATTCACTTTCCCAAGTAGATCTGATTACCATTAACGACCAGCTCAGGTTTGTGAAAAAGGAAACTGGCTCTCCTCCGCCCTCTTTAAGTTAAAAAGTGAGACATGTCACACAGACCTTGTGATACACACATTCCTCTGCTGTCTTACATTACATAAAGCCTCATGTGTGTAGGAAGGTCTGTAACACACTTGGTGACAAAACAAGGCTTCAACACCCCCCCAAGTTAAATCCTATAAATCAAAGGCACATTCTCTGTCTGATTTCAACAGATGCAGAAGATGACTACAGCAAGATAATCAAATACAAAGAAACTTCTCTATATTTTTTGTTTAGAATCCTTTTATGGTACAAGACATTTTTTGCCTTAACTTTGCATTCCTTTCTCTTACAGAATTAATGTGTGTTTTAGAGGAAAACTCTGATGGTAAAATGTAAATGTGTCATGTAATTTTGGTAATACAGAGTCAAATCTAGCACTGATGAAGTCCAGGTCTGTTTATATGTGTAGCAATGGTGTGTAAACGATCAAAGACCGGGAGCTGGCAATCACTTTTACATCAGTCCAGGTCACTCAAGGACATCGCTGCCATTCAGATAATACTTAAATCTAATTTGATCTCCAGCTTCGGGCAATATCGGTGCACAGACCGCACTCTCTCTGGCTGAAAAGGTGTCACAGCAGAGCAAGTATTTGAATATTGCCCACGGTAGCCAAATGACACCATTAACAGACTTGGCTACAAGCTTGGCTCTGTGGATGAATTACTTCTCATTTGTTTCTGACACAAAGCTCCCTCTGGTGGATGTCTAAAGTGAAGTTTTCCAACAAGCAGAGTCTGCGAAAAGTGTCCACAAGCATAAATATTTATTTTGATGATGTGATCTATAAGCACTCCATTTCCATTTGAAAGATTTTTTATGACAAAGAAGAAAAGATAATGTATATTTTTAGGCTCTGAGTAGAAATAAAAATCCACTGAGATAAGGGGGGACGAAGTACATCATCAAGTGAAAGTCCAGAATCTCAGTGAAAATGTATTTGTAGCTCCCAGTTTATGGGGTTTAACTGTAATGATTCATTACACCACACAGCTACAGGATCTCTGAATTTTTTTTTCCAGCCTGAAACATCATCTGTCGGCGGTTTAATCAGTCAACAATCTGCTCGACCAGTTCAACATCAGAGGTGTGTAATTGTATTATTGTATCATCAGTGGATCTGTGTTTAGCTGTCAGTGCCACACACAGGCAGAAGAGCGGCTGGCTAGTCTGTCATCATGTCGGCGCCCTCTCCTCCTGTGGCATCATTTAGGCTGAGCTCCTCCAGCATCTCCATCAGGGAGACGCGCGGTGCTCCGTCATCATCAGTGTCGCTCTCCACTGGGATCTTAGACGCATCTGAAATTGAAATATCAGCATCTGCTCATTAACTAGCCAATACATCATCTGTAATAAACAGTGTGACACGATCAGAAACTTAAGCAGCCGTTTGCAGTTAATGAGCCGTAGCCTGACAATAGAAACCTAAATATATCATCGCAACTTCTGAAATCTCTTGGGACTCTGTTCCTGAGGAAAGTCTGCAGTGTCCAGCTGCTTACCTCTGTAGATATTGACATTTTTCCTCAGAGCCTCATCCTCCTCCAGGTCCTCCAGGAAGTCCTGGTATTGTCTAAAGACAGAAAAGCAAGTTGAGACCAAACCCATCTGGCACAGGATTATTGATAAGAAAAACATCCACAGGATATTTGGCACCCTTGGCACATCATCAAACTATTCATCGGCGCAAAACAATGTCAAGCCTTTAGTCACCATTTCATAATCAGCTTCCCTCTTAACTGTTTTCCCATATTTTCTGTACCAGGGAAGCTTGTGCAAAATTCTACAGAGCTTCAATATTACACTTAAGAAAACATTTTCTACATATTTAGTAATATTTTCATGGTGTTCTAAATGTATACATCTCATTGTTTCTAAGGATGTTTCATGAGAAATTAAAAAAAAAAACACAGAGACAGTATATTTCAAGCACTTTCTTGTCTTGCAATATTTAACATTATTTATTGTGAACAAACTCCAAAACAAAACTAAAACCTACAAATAATCTTTCCATCAACCATCATCTGTGTGCCCAAAGCCTGATATAGCTTATTCCGCTGTACTATAGAGCTCCATTGTGGTCCAAAAACACATTAATGAGCCATACTTCTGTCCTGGTTGCCATGACCTCTCATTCCAAGTAATATGGCAACTGTGCTTTTTTTTTTTGAGGCAACCCTGCATATACCATTGTGCTGCTGTAAATGCCCACAAGAAGTCGCATTAATCCAATTCAAAAATGAGTCCCTCACAAATGGAGTATTCCTATTTTTTGTGAATAGCAGGCTGTGATCAGGGGGGCAATCTTTTAAAGCTTCACCTCATTATTTTCAAGAAAAATATGTAACATTAACAGAACTGTCCCACCTCTCATCATCCGTGTCCATGCCTTCACGGTCTCTGGCCATCTCCTGCAGTTTCCAGTTCCTGCGTTTCACCCTCCTGGTGCGGTCGTAGCTCTTCTTGATCAGCACCTTTGACAGTTCACATGCATGTCGTACACATTAAAACACAACAGCAGGATGTCGGCATATTTTTCTTGTGCGATTCTTTGCAAGAATGGAATCCTTGGACGACGCTATCAAACCTATGTTCAATATTTTTTGTTGCCACTAGAGGTCGGAGTTGATCAAGACCACAGCAGGTGAAAAAAACTCATCATCTGAAGCAGGTTTATTTAGAGAGGATGTGCAGTTAAATGTTGGTGAGTCTTACCACATCAGGGACATGGTGAGGGTTCATCTGATTCCAGTACTCATCATTAATGTTGGAATTGGCAAAGTCAAACCTGTACGGCGAAAAGGAAACGTGCCGTTAATCGTAAAGCTCATACCAGTCAGTCTGACGGCTCAAGTGATCAACTTCTGAACATCTCGTCGATCCTTCACTCACCCCATCACCAGGTCTCCGATGTTGAGCAGGTGGCCCAGGAATGTACGGCAGTGATACTGCTGGCTGGTATTCATCTCTGATGTTTTCTGAACCCACACATCAGCCAGGGTGTGCTGCAACACACACACAAACAAACAGGGAATATAAATATAGTTTCGAGCCATTGAAACAACATTACTCTTGTTCTATCCCTCCTGTTAATTCAGACAGCTGCATCGATAATAACGCAACATTCAGAGCGAGGAGAGAGAGAGAGAGCAAACTACAAACCTCATCCCCATCAAAAGAAACACTCTTGAGTGTTTCGGTCCTTTTGGCTTGAATCCCACATGCAGGTTCAGGGATAATGTAATGGTTTGCTATTGATTTTGCTTCCGAGAGAAGAGCAATGTTCCCCCATAATGCAATCTGTTCTGCACCAACACACACGCGCCCCCTCTTACCTTGTTGGACCTCATGCCGGCTCCAGCACCCAGCTTCTGGTCTCTGATGATGTCAATGTCCATAACGATGAACTCCTCCAGTTGCCGTGGGTTACAGAGACTGTTGAATGGGTTGCGCCAGTATGTGTTCCCGTCCACCTCCGCAACTAGAGAATTAGAGATTATTTATGTCCTACTCTGATGGAAGTAGCCATTCTCACTTGTCAGTTAAAGAAAAATATAAAAATGATATGT